GTCTGGTTTGGATGACTATCAGTAATGACCTTTTGCTGCGGGCGGCGCTGTGGCCCGTCGTGCGGCCCCACAGAGCCGCCATAGCCACCCCCCCCTCCCCCGACCCAACGTCTACCCCGCCGGCTTCGCGCCGCCGCCATGGCCGACGTGGAAGACGGCGAGGAACCCTGTGCCTTGGCCTCTCACTCCGGGGGCGCAGCCTCCAAGTCGGGGGGCGACAAAATGTTCTCTCTCAAGAAGTGGAACGCGGTGGCCATGTGGAGCTGGGACGTGGAGTGCGATACGTGCGCCATCTGCAGGGTCCAGGTGATGGGTAAGCGCAGCGTGCGCGGCCTGGGCCGAACTGCGGCCTTCGCGGGTTGTCTCCGGGCGGTGCGGGACGGAGGGCGGGCGCCCGAAACCTCGGGTAACCTTCAGTCTAGGCAGTGGCGGGGATGGCCTTGCCAGGCGTGGGGCGGCGTAGGGCTGCTTAGGGCTGTGCTCGTGCTGCAGCTGGTCTGAGGGCCGTGGAGTCCTCCAGCTGGCGCCCCGCACCCAGTGGTCTGTGTTCTGGAGATAAATACGGGCAATAAACGGAGGAATTAGGGTAATTTCAGGTGGTAATGAGTGTGCCCAGGAGAACAAACTGGGTGATTTGATAGAAGCTGAGAAGAACCATTTCGGTTGGTGTGGCCAGCCCAGCCCCAAAGCATGCTGCAGAGGGGTTGAGGCAAAGGCCGTAATTCAGCAGTGCACTTTAATGGTTTTGATCAAAACACCAAATTGACGTTTAGAAGTCATCTTGCACAGAAACGAGACTCTCAGGTCTGTTTGAGAGGCGTTGGGAAGAGAAGTGTTAACCGCCAGTGCGTATTGTGAGTTCCGTATTATGCTACTGCGCGGCTGACTTTTAAATCTGGATTGATCTAAGATGGGTCAAATGGCACTACTTGGCTTGACAGGGATACAGTGTGGTTCAAGGAAATTTAAGTTTCATGGGAATTGAAGAATGTAATCCCTGTACTCAGAAACGTAAAACCTGATCTCCATCTTACCCCCCTCTTCGTCCTAAGATGACATTTCCTGAAGATAGTGCCCTGAATCATGTTTTTGTGGCAAACAGTCTTTTGTAAACATGTCTTCTTTCTATAATATTTTGAATTAAAACAAAGGACCAAGTGAAACATTTCAGAACAACTTAATCTCGTTATGTTTTATATGGTTCTAAATCTCAGGCTACTTGGAAAACAGGTGCTATTTAAATGCAAATTATGGTTTTTAATAGGGCATTTTAAATTACAGTGAGAGTATTTTAAATTGTGTTGTTCCTTGAAGATAGTTGAAGAAAACTGAACTTTCTGTAATTTGGAAGCTTCATGACTTGTGAAAAATGAAGGAATTGGAGAGCATAAAGAAAATTTCTTCTTAAGGAATGAGATTTTAACCTACCAAAATCAAGAGATTTCTCCATTTATGCTTTCTTCTGTCTTTTTTTTTCATAAAGACGTGTTTCAAAGAGGATTTACAACAATGAGATTCACATTTTTTTTCCATTTGAAAGATCTTAATTTTAGATATCTATTTATTTTTCATGCTATATATTAGATTTTTAAAGTACCTTTTAGTAATGTATTTCCCTGCAGTACAACTCCCTTCCACTCCCACCCCTTAAGAATCCACTAGTTTTGTTTCCTTAATATTTGAGATTTATGTTATGCCCTTAATTGATTTATAATACTTTCTGCTGGAAGATTTTCCTGTCCATTCTGCTGTGAGTGACACTCCTCTTGGTTTCCACTCTCCTCTGTCTGAAAGGAGCACGTGGCACAGGAGCAAGTACTGGTGAAGAAGAAGGGAAGAGGTTTGCTAGTACAGCCAAGTCGCAGTAGCCAGCATGACTATATGTTAGCTAGGTAGCCTGCATGACTGGTTATTATCTTGGGCATTTCACATAACCTTTTGGAGCCTTGATTTCCTAACTTGTAAAGAGGCTAGTTAGGATCCCCTAATAGTCTTAAAATTCTGTGATTGCACAGAACTAGTGCCAGATCCAGGTAGCTTATCTTCATTGTTACAATCCTTAGGACATTTGGCTGGTTGTCTGCCTCCCCATTTGCTGGTGAGCTCCTTTGGGATCTAGCCCTGGTCATTTTGATGACCCCAGTACATAACTCTTAGTATTTGTGGCATTGAAGAAAGCCTCAGGAGGCCGTGGTTGTTTTTAATCCACACTGAAGAGCCCAGGGTGGCAGTGGTGTTATTTTAAAGGTAAGAGCTTGCAGAGAGGAGCAAACAAATGCCTGAGCATAATCCAGTGTAAAAAGAGAAGCAGGCTTCAACTCCACCGTGTTTCTATTTTTACAGAATTATTTTTCTTCTATTTATGTGTTTATGTTAAAAAATTATTTTTTTCTGTCTGTTAGAATTTTCTTTTACCTAACTCTGACTCTTCTTTCATCTAGTGAATGAGTCCATTTTTGATTCCTAAAATATTTCTCTGTTACCTCCTACATCAAGCTAACAGTACCACAGATTGAATTTTGAAAACATCCTGTATATCTATTCTTGGTTTTTACACCCCAATAATTTATTAATATACTTTGCCATTGTTGGGTAGATGCTTTGGGCTCAGACTTACCTGCAAAGTAGGGATTTTCTTTAAAAAAAAAAAAAAACTAGTATTACCTAGTATTTATCTATAAATTCTCAAAAAACATGTATCATCTTCAGTATGTAAATACCTAATGGTAGTTTTTTTGTTTGTTTGTTTTAAACAAATGAGAGAATTGATGTTAATAATTGGTTTGGGGCCATTGGACTAGTAAATGTGAAGTGGGATTTGACCCCAGAGCTGCCTGCTTCTGGAGCCCTTGCTTTCCCTTCTACATCTCAGTTTTCACCAGTCTGGTTTGGATGACTATCAGTAATGACCTTTTGGAAGCTTACAAAATAGTTATTTTAAAGGAATTCACAAGCGTCTTAGGGAAGAAAGTAAGAAGTTACTTTTTATGAGTTGCTAAAGGAAAATGTCTTTGTTAATAAGTATGGGTAACTCAAGAAAACTTGTTTGTGAAAGAATCCAAGATTATTTTCAATTTAATTTTTGTATAGGTTATACAAACACATAGTTCAAAAATTTAAGAAGGTACATGGGTAGCAAAAACTCTCCTCGTTCCAGCGCTCCTCCCAGTAAACTTTATTTTTGGTTTCTTAGTAGTATTCTAGGTTTTTTTATGTGTGTATAAACAAATGCCAGTATATGTGCATGACATATTTAAAAGAGTATCTAGAAAATAAACTGGCAGGGGAGTATGGCATGTTTTTCTCTCGTGGTGCTATCAGGGCATCTTTTCATCAGAGCTTGTTAAATAGAGGATTTGTTAACCCTTGTGAGATTGCTTCTGGTCATGAGTAAATTAGTAGAATGCCTTACATTTTATTCCTTTTTAAATAGGTTCAGATGCGAAATTAATTGTACAAGTCTCTTATCTCCATCTCTAACCCTTTGGGCTTTTGACTTTGAAGTGTCTAAATTTTAAAAATTGCATTCTGAGCATCAGAATGAGAATTGCTATTTGTTTACTTTTAGATGCCTGTCTTAGATGTCAAGCTGAAAACAAACAAGAGGATTGTGTTGGTATGTTGTAATTTTGTTCTCTTGCTTTTTCAACTGAAGGTTTTCTCTCAGTGGGGATGTTTGAATTTGCAGTTAAGATTGACTTTATCAATACACAAAAATAAACTGTAAACCAGTGATCCATTATTACTATAAAATGTGTTGGTTCTTGGAGTTCTCGAAGTTCTTTTTATGGCTGTACTCAAGAATTGGTTATATATTCCAGACATGGAATATAATAAACATTTTAGGAATCAAAAAGAATAAATTATCTTCTGTTAAAAAATATTATAAAATGAGAAAATTGTCAAAACATTTGAATTTGGTTATGTTACAGGTCAGTGTGGGTTCTAATAAAGCATTTCAGTTTTCAGTACTCTTACGATACTCCATTTAACTTTTTAATTAAGGCAGAAAAAATTCTCAAATTTTTTTTTGGAATGTGGTTTGTGTACTAAAATCAATTAAATTTTCTTTATAGTCTTAACACTAAAAAAGTTGTCTTAGGCTAAATATTTTAAGCAGTTCAAAGGTTTTTATGTTCTAGTTCTTGAGGTGATCACTTCTAGATTATTGTATAAAAGTTTTTGTAGATTTTTCTAAAATACAAGACTTATACTGTTTTTTGCATGGCTTATATACAGCTTCTTGATGATTTATACAGGTTTGATCCAATCCTGTTTCTTTCTCCTGAAACACTTAAAATGTTTCCCCATTTCCTCCTACCTTCTACAGCCAGTTGTTATGAGAAATATTTTTTCTTTTTTTTCCCCTATTTCTTTCATTTAACCTTGTCAAGCAAAGGACACATGAAGCCCAAGTTTGAGATTGTATTCCAGATTATAGGTGATTTCCCTTGGCTTAAACTATTTTTGTCATGCTGCTTGTTGAAAAAAAATACTAATTTGGATATCGTAAGGGGTGGGCCCTTTTGATCACCAAGGCAACTCTCTCTAGCCATCCACTTTGAAAATGTTATTGTATGTCTTGTTGCACTGCTTATTTATTACTTAACACAATTTCTCATTTCTGGAAAACAGCTCAATAGATGTATAACTAACTGATAATGTTTAGAAGCATATTACACATTTCAAATAGCCTACTATGAACTGAAAACATTTAAAACTCATTATATCTTGATAAATTAAAATCAAGAGGTCATTTTTCTTTCTTTCTTTCTTT